TTTTGTTTTTGATAATGTTTCAGTTTTGTGTTTTATATGAAACATGGTTATTACAGATTAATGAAATAAATGTAGTTATGATATATCTAGTAGATGCCACAATAGGTGATTGTCTCATTTGCTTAAGTGTGTTGACGCCAATAAAATGAGCTTAATGCTGCAATTAACAGATCTGAAGTCATCAGCATAATGAATGAGGTGAAAACAGGATCTATTGACATGAAATAAAGAGGATTTTCAGCAGCTGATAATATTGATGAGCCTCAGACTATAAACATTCAATAAACAAACCATTCAGGATCAGCAGCAGATCATCTCACTATAAATATAAGCATCTGTGGGTAGAAACTGATTATTTGCTTAAAGCTAGTTGGTGAAAGACTATAAAACTGCTCTATTAAAACATTATGATTATTTTACATAATATGATACAGAAAGAATACCAGACAATATAAAGATAGACACTAATGACACAACATATTGATCAACCATTGTTTTGCATATGAATCTATACATGGTTAGAATTGCTGATAACTGCATTCACAGCAATTAAGTGATTATATCACTAACACATCTTTTTGGTATGTCTGAAAACTCAACTTCCTATGTATCTATATCCACTGAGGTATTTATGTACGGTTTAAAATGTTCTGAGCGGCTCAACAAACAGCGACACAATCAAACAACCAAAGGCTAAGTCACATAAAAACACAAATACGCTAAGACCAAAACACACTTTCCTTACATGTTCGTTGTCTGCTGTAAGTGTTTTAATCAGCAGAGGCACAAATAGCGCTGAACCCGACGAAAACAAGGCAGAAATTGCCCTTAAATAAACTGTGTTTGGTTGTGTAAACACAAGAAACCCGCTTGAATGGACAGAGACTCGACGCTGGCTGAGCGTGCGTGCGTGGTGACGTCATCACCGAGAGCCGAGCTCAGTGGCATTGTTGCCAAGTCCTTGGTTTTTGGGCTAGTTTTGAGTAGAAATTGTGCGTGTTTTGTTGTGAAAACATGGCAACCCTCTCAACGGTAGATCCTCAAAAAATCGCCAAAATCCATTTAAAACACAAAATATCTATAAAACAGCATATCAAACAAACATAACCCTGTTGAAAAAACCAGCATATGCTGGTCAGGTATGTTTTGACGCTGGGATGCTGGTTTATGCTGGTCATGTGCTGGCAAAGGACCAGCATAAACCAGCAAAGGACCAGCATAAACCAGCAAAGGACCAGCATAAACCAGCAAAGGACCAGCATAAACCAGCAAAAGGACCAGCATAAACCAGCATCCCAGTGTCAAAACATACCTGACCAGCATATGCTGTTTTTTTCAACAGGGTTATGTTTGTTTGATATGCTGTTTTTTTCAACAGGGAAGGGCAAACCAGTTACTGATGCAGAGGACAGACAGTGTGTGGGGTGGGTGAATTATAGTTTATTAGGCAATTAAAACGCTTTATTGAGAAATTTAAAACAGAATATCGCAAAGAAAACTTATTTAACATCATGGCTTTCAGATATAGCTAAACATTTTTGTTGATGCAAATACAATCAGCAGACAATAATAAAAAAAAGCTGCTAATAAAATGTAAGAAATCATATACTAATAAACGGGTAACATTTACTCAATAAATACTCTTTAAGTAAATACAAAAAAATAGCTAAGTAAAAGTGAAAACTAACTTGATTGATCTCACCCTGTTGACTTACAAGTAGGGATGCGTATAAGGTTTTAATGGTATTACTACTCTTACAATACTGATTATCAATCTGGTAATTTAAGGATCAGTAATTATTTTCTTTTTTTACATTTATTTGTTTATTTTTGTTACAAAAAATAGAACAGAAATAACATGGCTTTGTGATATGACATTGTAAAATAAATAATTTATAGGAAATAAATGTACCAGTGTAAAGGCATTATTAGAGGCATTCCCTTACGTAACATTTATGTAAGAAAATAATACAATAAGAAAACAGAAACAAAGCACAAACAAAATAACAAAAAAAAAAAACATACAAATGAAATAAACAATGCAAGTTTTTCAGTAATGTCTAACAGCAGTATTCAGGTAAATAATAGCCTACAAAAGAAACTGAATGAATGAATCTAATGTAAAATCAGTTTCAGACTCGCTGGCGTCACATGACAGAATCTCTGATTTTAAGGTCCTAAATGTGGACTCGGGGCCTCCCGTGTAATTCAGCTTCTTGGTCAGTTTCAGTTCTGGTCACGTTATCACGGTCTGATTCACTCTGAGATCCTACGATTTATGTTTGGACTTTAAGAGAAGAACAAAAGCTCTGTGAAGGAAAGGTAGACGGAATGCAGCACGATAATCACTTTACCTCAAATATCTTCTTTTCATTATCATTGGAAGCCAAACTCAAATATCGCAGATAAAATTAGATTAATCGCACAGACGTAAAGCACGAGAGAGATCTCTCTTCTGGACTGCGAATAGCAAAAACACACCCAAACAGACTCTACCTGGTTCTGGTACCATCCCTACTCACAAGAGAAGCAAATAAGGATCGTACAGTATATCTTGCATATGCATTTTTTTTTAATACATCATAAAATGAAAGAATAACTATTTGATTTAAGAACAACTATGAAGAACAAAGTAAATATAAACGTCAGTCATCTTTGGGGAGGAACTCCATCTTTGAGTTGATCTGAATCTGACAGATGAAGCTGTAAGGTTTCTCTCCAGTGTGGATCCTCTGGAGCCGCTTCAGATCTTCAGCTGTAATAAAAGTCTTCTCACACTCAAAGCACATAT